ATTGATAATATATTAAAAGTGATTATATTGTATTTTAATAATAYGTTAAAAGTTATTACATTCTTATATTGATAAGGTATAAAAAGGCTATAGAAAGTTTTCAATAGGCCTCATAAGCACCTTGTCCCTTTGATATAAACCACACGTATCAACTGCAGCCTTTCCTTGCAGCGGGGGGACCTTCCCTCATGACGATGGCTCCAAGCAGGAGATCAAGAACAGCCTGTTCGTGGGGGAGAGTGGGAACCTGGGCACGGAGAGCATGGACAAYGACATCTGGGGCCCTGGGGGGCTGGACCACCGTGGCAGAACCCTGCCCATCGGCCCGTGAGTTGAGCTCAGAGCACGGGGCACAAACCCAGCTCAGTTTGATAACCAGGACACAGAACAAAACCAGCCCAGTCCAATAACCAGCACTGAGAACAAAACCAGCCCAGTTCATCTTTGCAAGGGGATTTGAGAGCGTTCTGTGCTAACAGGGCACCTCAGTACTGTGGCCAGCGGTGCTGAGCTGTGACAGTCCCCATCACCTGCCAGGAAGGCTCAGAGAAGCCCTTGAACTGTGCCCTTCAAGCTCTTGAAGCTTGACTGTGGTCATGGATGAGCTCAGTGCTGCTGTTACTGCTGCTCCTGCAAAGGACTTTGATGCCTTTGTTAAAGGGTTTTGAAAGGGCCAGTGAACTCCACGTGAGGTCTCTTCCCACACCTTAGTCCTACAAATGGGTTTGCAAGTGCGATGGTTTTGCTTCCTAAATGCATAGTTATCCTAAAAGTAGCCCCACRGTGGACAAACAGCTCAGTTGAGGGTTTTCTGCCATGTCACAGGCCTCAATTTTGCTGTCAGCAGTGATGCTGGAGGTTTATGAACTRTAGCAATAATGAAAACCCAATCTGCCTAATGTACGTGGACACATCCCATCTTGGGTGTTATATGCAGAAACTCAGAACAAGTGCACTGGAGCAGGCAGGAGTTCTCTAAGGGCAACCATTCATATGAGGAAAGGATCAAATGTATTCATCATAAGTGAAATTTGAGATGYCTTGGCCTCTTAAAGAGCTTAAGCATCTTGTTACTTAATTGGTGTGAAAATGGTGCCTTCTTTACCTTGCAGATGTATCAGAAAAGGTTCAGTAATCTGCCCCTTTGACTCTTCTTAGGAAGAGTCTTAGGAGAGAACCCTGTAGGCTGTAGGACCTTTCCTTGTTTTCAAAAAGGTTTTTTTTTGTAATTGGGATGGATTTGCAGTGTTTCTCTCCAAGTGCCTTTGAAATATGTGGTGGGACTTCTTTTAGCCCTGCCATTGCTTGGCCCAAGGAGGCTGCACAGCTCTGCTGAGTTTCACTGCTGCAGCCCTCATTTCTGATGGCAAACACCAATTTATTTGTCTTTAAATCAATGCTTCGCCATTGCTGTAAGTTCCTTCCCTGGAGGAGCGCAGGATAAATAAAGATGATCCGTTCAACATGAGAGAACTTGAACTGGACTACAGGGATAAGAGGAGCTAAAAAGGAGAGAAATCCCTTCTCTAAAAAGGAGAGAAATCCCTTCTCTAAAAAGGAGAGAAATCCCTTCTCTTCCAAAGCAGGAACTTAGGAGTTGTCCCTTGGGCTGTGAGAAACACGAGAAACCTTTCACGAGAAACGCGAGCAACTGCGAAACAAGCGCAGTGTCTGAACACACCTTCTGCTGCAAGCAATAATTAGAATTTAATTTTCAATCATGACTAGTTGGGGCTCAAGATCTTTGTGTTTTAAGAGCAGGCATTTAACATTTCTCTCCCAGATTCCCAGTCTGAGCAACTACTTTTGCAATAGAAATGATGATTTGAATGAGTGTAATAGATAAACTGCCTGCCTTGCTGTGTGAGTGTAGTTTGTGATACATTTATGCATTTCAGAACTGACTAAAAGACAGGGATGTGTCGRAAGAATTTTGTACAACATTTCAGAATCCATCAGAATCAAAGGTCTGCGTTTCCCAGACCTGGAAAACTGTGTCCTGACCCTCTTTCTCTCTGTGTCTCCTCCAAATTCCAGGGATTTCCCCATCCGAGGGATCCAGTTCTACGACGGGCCCATCAACGTGCAGAACTGCACGTTCCGCAAGTTCGCGGCGCTGGACGGGCGGCACACGAGCGCGCTCGCCTTCCGCCTCAACAACGCCTGGCAGAGCTGCCCCAACAACAACGTCAGCGCCATCCGCTTCGARGACGTCCCCGTGAGTCTGAGAGCCCTTCTGGCCYTCCAAAACACAACATCTGGCTGATGGGCTTTGGTGGAAGGTTAACAGCAGCAAGGGAAAGAAAATTGGATGGGTGCAATAACGAAAAAATCCAAACTCTCTCAGGGTTGTAGCAAAAYGGAAGCAGGCATCAGTTAAAAAAAAAAAATAGTGACATTGAAGTGAAAATATTATCCACTTTCTTCAGGCACTGAAGAATCTGCCCCTTTATTTTCAACTTTTCAAATAAAGTGGTTGGGCTGAAATGATTTGTGCTGCCTAATTTTCAAAAACTTAGCAGGCTTGCTCGCAGGTCAGGAAAAGTGTTGATTAGTGCCAAA